GCATTGGGTCCCAATATTAAATTGGGTACAAAAAACTTACAATGTCGAAATTAAAACTACTGACGGTATAAATGGGTTAAAGCAACCTGATAGTACCAGAAAAAAATTAAAGGAAATAATTGAAAACTTTGATTCTTTAAAATTATCGGGTAAGTCATTCATGAAATAATTTTTCTTTTCTTTTCTTTTAGTAATTCGCAATTTTTTATATTACAGGATTTGAGAGGGCTACTATGTTATCAAAGTCATTTTTAATTGGTTTAGCTTTAGTAGAAAGAAAATTAAGTGTTGAGGAAGCTTCAACAGCTTCGTTAATTGAAACTATTTCGCAAACTATGAAATGGGGTAAACTTGAAAATGGTAAGCAAAAAAAAAAATATATATTTAATTTAAATTTAAATAAATATTTTTCGAATTTATTAATTTATTTACATAATTTTTTATTAGCCCATGATATCGAAAATGAAAGTACCAAAAGACAATTGGGATCAGTTATTTGTGCTACAATGGTTTCCACTTTATGAGATCTATTTTAATCTTGATTAATAATCACAAAAAAAAATTCTTATGTAAAAATAAAAGAAACAAAATATTTTTGTTTATTTAAAATAAAATAATACTAAAGTTATTCGAGTATTTTATTTACAATTATTATTTTTAAGACTTCTTTTTACATTACAGGCTCTCCTTATTTCTAGTTATTCTCCAAATAGAATCGGCAACTTTAATTACATCCAACATTTCTTTCACATCATGTACTCTAAGAATGTCAACGCCGGCCAAGACAGCAGCGGTACAGGCAGCAGCAGTACCCCAACATCTATTTTTAGGAATGGGCTGATTAATAACTTCCCCAATAAATCGTTTATTACTCACCCCAATTAAACAGGGATATCCTTCTAGAGGACTATGTTTTCCATTAAGTTCGTTTAATCTTTTTATTATTTCAAGATTTTGATCCAACTTTTTAGCGAAACCAATACCAGGATCAATAATTATATTCCAACGTTTGATGCCAGCATTGATGGCAGCTTGAACCCTTTCACATAATTCATTAGAAATATCCAATATAAGGTCATCACCATATTCGGTTAATCGAGACATGGTTTTAGGAGTACCTCTCATATGTTGAAGAATAATCGGTACATTATATTTAGCAGAAACAGAAAGAATCTTTTCATCTAATTGCCCACCAGAAATATCGTTAATTATACTTGCACCATTTTGTATTGCTTTTTCAGCAACTTTGGAATGAAAAGTATCAATTGATATAGGAATATTAGCAAGAGTTGTGTTAGAAGAAGAACGAATCGCTTGTATAATTGGTAATACACGAGAAATTTCTTCTTCAATAGGAACGTCCTCAGCATTAGGACGAGTAGAACAACCTCCAATATCCAATATATCAGCACCTTCTTCGACTAACTTTTGAGCATGAGAAAGGGCAGAATTAACATTATTATATAATCCACCATCGGAAAAAGAATCGGGAGTAACATTAATGACACCCATAATAAAAGTTTTTGTGGACCATTTCCAAATTACATTATTAATATTAATTGGTAATATCTTTTGAATAAAATTATTAGGAGAATAAGAAGGACTTTTCAAGTAATGAGAAAGTAATTGACCACAAGTTTTAAATAAGTTTGGATGTTCAAAATTTCTTGCGATATCACATAATGGTCTCAATACAAATTCTCTCTCGCTCATTAAAGTATGTGGAATGTTTAGAGTGGAAGAATTATATTCAATGTCATCATAAAATATTATATCCAAATCTATTGATCTTGGTCCATATCTTATTACTGTTGTTCTTCCTATGGTTGATTCAATATTTTTTAATTTAACCAATAATTCTTCTGGATCCAAATTTGTCGCAACTTTACATGCGGCATTAAAAAAATTTGGTTGATCCGTCACGTACATTGGAGATGTTTCATACATGTATGAAGTATCTAATATTTTACATTCTAATTCGAGTAATTTTAACGCTTCATTCATGTTTCCAATACGATCACCTATATTCGAACCCAAAGTAATATAAACTAAATGATCGTATCCCTCAGGAAAAACCTGATCATGTGCCGGAGGTTTATTCTTGAAGAATGATTGACTTCTTGTGATTTCGACTCCGGCGGAAGCGGCAAACATTAAGGCACTTGGTTTTTCCGCTCTTATGGTAATTTTATTAACTTGACATTCCATTATTGCGATGCGGGCTATAGAAGTCGCAAATGCTTCAACTGTTTTATACCTTGATTCTTCAACATGCTTTGTAATGGTTCTAACTATTGTCCTATAGTTATGTGGTTTTATAACATGATCTTTACTAGATTCCGCTTTATATTTGGGATAAATAGTTAAATTAATTATCACACTTTGCTTTTCGTCTCTTTCCCATGGGTTAATTCCAATTATACTAATCAATTTTAAATCTCGTACAAATATTATATCAGAATTTCCATTTTCATTAGTGGTTTTTGGTGATTCCGAATATTCATCTTTTGTACGCGTTATTTCCACTCCTGCACATTTTGCATGTAATAATGCTTTTGGTTTTTCCAACCTAATATAAATTTTTGGAATATGAAATTCCGTTATACATAATTTTGCTATTGCATCGGCTAATGCTTCAATCGATTTAAAGGAACTTTCCTCTGAAAACTTTGTCACAACTTTAGTGACAGTACCATAGTCGATTGAATACTGTTGTATATTGTCGGTATTTCCTGCCTGTGATAAACTTGTAAAGATTGTCAAATTGATTATTATTGGTTGCTTTTTTACTCTCTCCCATGAATCAACTCCTATGATATTATGAACTTCTAAATTATTTATTATGATTTTATCTTCCATTATGTTTATATATGTTTTTTTTGGGGAAAAAAAAAGCCATCCAATTTAATGATGAATTACATGAATTTCATTGGTAATTATGCGTAGATCACCATTTTAAAAATAAAACGTTTTATGTGTAAATCCACTTTACACATTTTTGATTTCTTCACAGGTCTAAACGTACAAATATGGTTTTGGCAGATCTAGGAAGACGTATTAATTCAGCTTTAGCACAGATTAATAAAGAACCAGTAATAGATGCAAAGGTACTTGATGCACTTTTAAAAGAAATATGTGCAGCATTATTGGGATCTGATGTTAATGTACGCTTAGTTAGTACACTTCGAAATAATGTAAAGAATATCGTTAACATTCAAGAAATTGCTGCTGGTATAAATAAACGTAAACTTATACAAAAAGTGGTTTTTGATGAATTATGCAAACTTGTTGAACCTGGTGTTGAACCTTACAAACCTAAAAAGGGTGGAGTTAATATTATCATGTTTGTTGGTTTACAAGGTAGTGGTAAAACTACTACTTGTACCAAATTAGCTTATCATTATCAACGTAAAGGGTGGAAAGTATGTTTAGTATGTGCTGATACTTTTCGAGCTGGTGCTTTTGATCAATTAAAACAAAATGCCACTAAAGCAAAAATACCATATTATGGAAGGTCGGTATATGAATTATTTCTCGTTTTTTTTTTATTTAAAAAAAAAAATAAAGTTTACTCTAGATATTTCCCATCTTTGCAGTTACACCGAGACGGATCCAGTACAGATAGCGCATGAAGGAGTGGAGAAATTTAAAAAAGAAGGATTTGAAATAATTATAGTTGATACGTCAGGTAGACATAAACAAGAAGTTGAATTATTTGAAGAAATGAAACAAATATCGGCTGTAGTAAATCCAAATAATACAATATTTGTAATGGATGGTACTATTGGTCAGGCTGCTGAATTACAAGCAAAGGCATTTCATGAAGCAGCTGAAATTGGTTCAATCATTATTACAAAGATGGACGGTCATGCTAAAGGTGGTGGCGCAATATCCGCCGTAGCTGCGACGCATAGTCCAATTATATTTATTGGTACTGGTGAACATATACATGATTTGGAAAGATTTGAATCAAGAAGATTCATACAAAAAATGTTGGGTATGGGTGATATTTCAGGTTTGATGGAAACCGTACAAGATTTGAAATTGGATCAAAATAAAAATTTAATGAAAAATTTAGAACAAGGTATCTTTACCATAAGAGATATGTATGAACAATTTCAAAATATATCACAATTAGGTCCTCTATCAAAAATGATGCAAATGATGCCCGGTATGTCGGAAATGAATTTTGAAGGTTCTGATGAATTGGGCGCGCAACGGATAAAAAGATTAATGACTATAATGGATAGTATGAGCGAATCTGAATTAGACAGTGATGGCAAGATATTTCTTACGCAACCAAAAAGACTTCAACGAATCGCATGTGGTAGTGGTACTAGCGTAAAAGAAGTTGAAGAACTTTTATTACAGCATAAAGCCTTTCAAGGTATGGTTAAAAAATTTGGTGGCAATAAAGGTTTGTTTAAAAACATGGGCGCTGGACCTGGTATGGACAATTCAAAATTATCCCCTCAACAAATGCAACAAAAAATGGCTCAAATGCAAAGAATGATGCCTCGAGGTATGCAAGGGATGAATATTAATAATGTAATGAAACAAATGGTAAGTATTATAACAACGGTTACCTTTGAGAGCCTGATCATAAAAAAAAGTTTTACTAACTATTAATTTATTTATAATTTATTAGATGGGAGGAGGTGGTGGTGGTGGTGGAATGGGTGGTGGTATGCCGGACTTAAGTCAAATGATGAAACAAATGGGTCTTGGTGGTATGCCCGGTATGGGCGGTACTAATCGTAGATAAAAAGAAGCGTTAAGATAAGGCAATGGGATACGTTAATCCCCCCCTTTTTTTTTAAAAAAAAAAAGATATATATATTTAACTTAAATTAAATCAAGAAAAAAGGTTTGTATCTTATAACGAAAAAACTCTTTGCGAAGAGAAAGGGTATTATTTAATGTAAGTTAAAAAGAAGAATAAAATTTTTTGCAATTACTTTTTTAAATGAAATAAATAATGTAATAGTATAAAATAATCCTCAACATAAATATTCATAAGCAGCATGATACCAAACGTTAACCCATCTATTGACAGGATCGATAACGACATAACAAAAGTTATTATGATGATTAGAAGGAAATAAATTACTATTTTTTAAATTATTTATTTTATAAACAAAAGATTTAATTATCAAATCACCAGTCTTTCTTCTTTTTTGTACACTAAAACAAAAAAACAAAAAAAATTATTAATTAGTTGTTATAATAGATTTATTTAATGCGTACATACCATATTAAATCTTTATAAATTTTTTTTAATATGTTAAAATATTCCGTAACAAAATCCTCAAATTGACAAATATCTCCTCCTAAACAAATTGATTTAAATATCTTAAACATGAATTCATTTCTATCATTCTTACTAAATATATCATAATTTATCGAATTAGCCAATAATAATAATTGTCTTAATTCATCCGTTATCATTATTGGTGATGAATTATTCTCTTCTAAATATATTGGAAATGTTTTAACTATTGCTCCACTATCTCGTCTCACTATTGCTGTATATGAAAAAGCAATTAAGGTATCAATAATTCCAACTTTATTAAGGACAAATAATAAATAATTTAGTAAATAAAACGAACGTACCAGCATCATATAACCTATCAAAAAAATTCAATGTAGTCATGTTACAAGGTATTTTCTCATATGCAACATCATAAATTTCTCCTTTTAATTCTTTCCAATTATTTTGATCAGATTGTATTTTAAATTCTTCTCTTACATTTTCATTATTAAAAAATTCTAAAAGAAATTTGTGCTCATCTTTTTCATTATCAAAATATTCTTCATATATAAATCTTTTTATATAACTATGTCGTCTCATTCCCCTAACAGGTAAAAAAAAAAGAGTTATGCAAGAGTATTTGGTTATATAGTAACATTAAATATGTTTTATTAAAATGATTTTAATCGTACCATTTTTCTAACAAATCTTGCACACGTTTGCTATTGTATTCTAGTTCGTTTGGTGATTTTGTATGATATTCAAAATGAAAACTCATTTTTAAGTCTCGGGAGTCAAAATTGTTAATTACCCACGATCATAGGACATTTTATAAGATTTAAAGAGTTCACAGTTTTATTTTTAATATGAGCATCGATAAAAAAAAAAATATTAATTTAAAGCGATTACAACTAAAATTATAATATATAGTACCTTCAGAGAAATAAATTATCATTTTCTTTATATATATATACCAACCAAAGACAGAATTATTACGGTAGTTCTTTTGAAACCTATTGAATTTGCAATTTCTTGCTTTATGTTATCTAACTTGTCGTAAGATATATAAAACATTAAAATTTATAATTTTATTTAGATATTAAAGCTTAAAAATAATGATTTTTCTATATCAATATTAGTTAAATAATCTTTTTATTGTAAAAATTTTAAATAAAAAATTTTTTATCTTTTATAAATTTATTAATTTATTTAAACAAATCAACTATTAATAATTATATTAAATCAAATTACAAATGTTATGATATTATATGGGAGCTTTGCAATAGAAAAGGAGGAAACTCTAAAAAAATTAAATTTTTACTTTCTAAGCTAATTATGATTTTTTTTGTAAAATAAGTCCAGATTTAACATTAACTCAAAAAAAAATTTTTTTAGAGTTTCCTCCCTTTCTATTGCAAAGCTCCCATATGATTATAAGATTATAAAAATCTGTTAAATAAAATTTTTTAAAAAAAAAATTATTATTTATTTATTTATTTATAATAAAAACCTTTTAATTATTTTATGGTTACATATGAGAGCATTGCTAATAAAATCATATTACAGGTTATAAGTTATATTATACATATCCAAGGTTTGGTTTTACTTATAATATTTTCATAAATTATAATATTTTATATAGGAAAAATTATCCCAAATGATTTTAAATAAATTTAGAAATTACTAGGTATAAAAAAGCCTAATTGTTTATCAATAATAAGTAACTCTTGTAAAATTATCATAATAAATATAGATTAAATGCTAATTAAAAATGTTTCTCTAAACTATTTTTGATAATTTGAGTTTCTGATAAAACTATTTGTTTATAATAAATATTTTTACCTAATTTTTTAATAGGTTTTTATAAACTTAATTAAATTTACTAAAGTTTCAGATTTAAAAAAAATCATTTTAAAGGTTTTAAAAAAATTCTAAATTTTTAAGTTACATAATAAAATAGGTTTTAACCAGTATCATTAATGCTAATCAATTGGTTTTATTTTAATTAGTCAATTTTTAAATTAATAATCAATAAATAAAAATCAAGAAAATACTTAAATTAGATATATATCAATTAATATTATAATATGAATATTTAAAAAATATTGATTTTTATCAGAAAATAAATTTAAAATTTATTATCTTATATAAATTTATCAATATATAAGAATTTATTTTATACTTAAATATGATTATTATTTTAATGATTTCTCTAATATTAATATACTTATATTGATTAATATTTAGTAATATAGGAGCTTTGCAGAAAAAGAAAAAAAGCTCTAAAAAAATTAAAACTAATTATGATTTTTTTAGTAAAATAAATCTGGATTTATTTTAATATTAACTCAAAAAAAAATTATTTAGTTTTTCCTTCCTTTCTATTGCAAAGCTTTCATAATAATAAAATTTTCAAATAATATTTATCAAAAAGTATTTAAGATAAAATATTCTATAAATAATATTATTCTATATATTTATGAAATATTGCGTCATAAATCTTTATAATATTTATATCTTTATTAAAGTACTGTTAACATATGATTTTAGTGAATCATTACAATTAGACAGAATATTTAAGTACTGATTCTTTTTAATTTACATAGTAATTTCACCAAATTTTACAAAGACTCGTATATTATCACTAAGATTTACAAAGGCTTATAGATTTACAATAGGGATACTTTTTTGTTGTAATAAATGTATTTTGAAATACATTATCATAATAAAGATAATTAATAATATGAGCTGTTTTTTGAAAATTGTTCATATATATCTATTTCTCTTGATTGTCTTCAAATTAATGAATGATAATTTTTTTACAAAATAATTATTAAATACTACAAGATGATTTTTCAAAATATTAAGAATAGGATGATTAATACTTTTCCAATACCAAATATCTGAAAGAAAAATTAATGGTACTTTATTATAATTTTTTCATTTAAAATATGCAAATAAACACTATACTTTTACATATAAATTTCTAATTATCTGATTTAAAAATTGTTACATAAATATTTAAACTAAAGGAATAGTAACATCTAAAAAAGTTTAAATATAAGATATTTAATATCTTTAGAATAAGATAATTCAATTTTTTCCTATATGATGTAATATTTTTCTAAGCAATTGTAATAAAAGATTAATTTTTCAAGAATAAGGTTTATTAGCAAATTTTTTTTATTCCAAAAATATGTTTATATGCAAAATTAAAAAATATAAAATAATAATTTTATGACTATTAAAAGATATATGTAAAGGTCTTATAATTAGAATAAAAGAAATAATACATTCTGAAATTCTATTTGATTATTCTTTTTTGATTGTAGCTATTGCATAGTTATTGCTTTTTTAGGATATATTTGGTCTGATCAATCAGCAATTAAAAGGAATAATATTATGTTGAAGATACTTCTAAAATTCTGAAAAAGATACAAATTTTTTCATTATCTTAATATATACTTCTATTAAATGTAAAATCAAATCTATTAGTATTATAATATTAAGTTGTTGATCTTTCTGTTTTTTATAAATATCTACATCATAGCAATAAATAGTTAAATTATTAAGTAAATCTTCTTCAGAATAAGATAACTATTCTATAAATCAATCATTAAATAATTGAGAAAATAAAGTTATATGATGATTTTCTATTTGAAAAATTAAAGAATTACTATTAATAAGTAATAGATTATATATACTATATTGATTTACATCTATATTATATATATTATATATAATATTTTTTGAAATTACATTTGCTATAGGTATAAGAATAGCAAGAATAGTAGTCATATTGGTAACAATACTAGTAAAAGTGGTTGTTAGCATTTTTAAGCCATAAATATTATAATAATCATCAATATTTATAATTATTGCATTGTTCTGATATTTTAAAAGTTCTTTTGTAATATTATTCTATGAATTGAATATATAGCATTTTTGTCACGCTGATTTTCTCTTAATGTAAAACTTAATTGCATATTAGATAAGAAACTAATAACTCAATCAAATATACTTAAATAATCTAAAAATATTACAATATCTTTTCTTAATAAGCTGATATATTTATTTCTAATTCTTACAAAAAAATAACAAAAAAGAAAGTTCTTTCTATAATAGTTTAATCTACAACATCCCTACTATTTAAATTGATTAATTTTTCAAGCATATTGAAAATTAGGACCCTTAGATTTCATATTTATTCTGAGTAATTTTCAATTATAAATTAACAATACCTTTTTTTTCTCTTGTATAAAAAATCTGTGCTATTGATTTCACATTTTCAATAAAATTAATTTTACTAATTCCTTTATCATCTTCTATTTCTGATATCTTTTGTTCTAAGTCAATATCTATTATCAATTCAAGTTCATTATCATGATCAATTTCTATAATCAAAATATCATCTAATTTTTTTTATCTTTTTAAGTTCCTTTAATATTATGTAATAGTTATGACAAAACTGTGTAATGTCTAATTGTCATGTAGTATCTAAAGTTTTGTGTTATAAGGCTTTATTATATTTAGCATTTTCTGTAAATCTTTGAAACTTAAATTCAGTTCCTTTTATTCTACAAATAATACACTAAGTTTCTTCTGCAAATGCTACTTTGAAATTTTCATTATAATTAAAGATGAACACCATAATTAAGAAGTTGCAACTTGATAAATTACAACTCCTTGTAAATTTATTTTAATATAAAATTCATAAATAGCTGCAACTAGTTAAAAATTTTAAAAATAATTATAGGAATTATCTTAATTATAATATTCAGAATTACTTATTTAAAATATGTGATTAGCAGAATTAGTTTTGTTAATATATTGTAAATAATATCTATGAGGATAGTATTATAGTTTTTTTATTGTTACATAAAATGATTATCAAAAAATCTGATGCTGATATATTACTTTAAACTATATAAATAGTTATGTTACATATTTATTATATAAAAACTAATTATGCAAATATTCAGTATGCTCTTTAAAATATTATATTATAAAAAATGTAAATCTGTAATAAGTCAGTATATCTTAAAAATATTATCAAAGTGTAAATATTTACAATAAAATATATTAAATAATTTTCTGATGTTATATAAAATAATTTCAGAAAAAGTTGCTAATTCTCATTTATATATAATATTATAATATTAAATTAATAGCTTATAATATTATCTGATAAATATATATTAACTTATTGATAATACTTATTATTAACATTTTTTAGTAAATGTTTTATTATCAGTGATTGTAATATTAAATTTATGATAAATTATTTATATAAATTAGTATAATTCAGCTTTATTGAATATTACTAAATTTTTATATTTTGATAAATTTTAGATAATTTAAAATTAAATATTACTAAATTTTCATATTTTGATAAACTTTGGATAATTTAAATTATTTGATATTAAATCATTCAATCTCAAGTTTTATTTTTTAGAAAGAATCTGTAGAAAATAATTATTAATATATAAAAATATATTTAATTTTTAAATTATTTAATATTGATAAGTAAATTAATATAAATATCTAAGATTCCATTCATTTTTTTCAAATAAATAGTAACAGAAAGAATACAATAGATCATAATCATGATAATTTTAGTAAAATAGAGAAATAAATGAATATTCAGAGTTATCCTTTCCTAATTATAATAATCTATTATTAAAGGTATTACAGTCTTTTTATAACCAAATTTAATATAACAAACTTTTATAATATGAGTCCTTTACAATAAAAAGGGAGAAACTAGCAAAAAAATAA